TCTCGCACCACTTCTTAGACCTCATCGAAATGTGTCTACAGAAAGATCCGAAGAAGCGGCCGACCATGGAAGAGGCTCAGCGGATGGGAGCGGGCTCCACTCTTCGTGCCGTGTGCGCATCTTCCAACAGGTCTGCGATAGAAACGCCAAGTTTTTCCGAACGGCCGACGTGAGTTGCTTAGCCCTGGAAGGATTCCAGCAGACAGCTTTGTTTTCCCATCGCACTGCATTTCCCGAGGCCGAGCCCTTAAAGAAGCTCTTGAGTCGGCTACCGCCCTTGGACCAGAGGATACCTCCGCATCTTGGCGGTGATGTGTTCCTGGTGGGTGGCGCCTTAAAGGGAGAGCGCGGGCTGCTTCCAGGCAACCCATCACCAAAGAGGAGAAGGAGCCACGGGAGTCTGCGCCAAAGGAGCAATGGGAGCCTTGGTGCTTCTTCTACCATAGCTAGGTAGCTGCTGGAATAGTTTACATCACGTTGGCATCTTGCCTGTCTGGGGCATCACAGGCCCATGAGACAAGAAAAAGCTGCACAGGGTTCTTCAAGAACGCTGAGGGTGGAATTCATGCCTCCATCCTCAATGTCGGAATCTAAGGATTTTGCCGTCGATGATGGTTACTCGGCTGCAACACTTTGCAGCCTTTGGACTACTAGTGGTCCTGAGGCACATTGAATGATGCCTGAGCCCTTGAAAGGTGATGAGTTTCCTGGGCTGAACGAAACTGAGATGTGAGTTCCATTTCAGACTTGCTTGCGGCCAAGCCGCAGGAAACCGTTGCACAGGCAAATCAGGCGCATGTTCGCTCTTGCCAGATTCTCAAGCGCTTTGACACACGGACCCTAGTATAGTTTACAACTAACGGCTTTTGAAATTTGTCTACATACGTCCAGAAGAGGGGTTCTTTGGCAAAGAAAGGTGCGCCCGCTCGACAGCGATGGGTGTTCCTGGCTGTTGGGGGTGGAACGTCTCAAAGTTTTGCAGGGGCAGCGTTTATTCCAAGCTTTTGGAATCACTGCACAGAGAGCGGAAGGTGTCACGGCACTCACACGTTCCGCCCCCTTCGGCGACCAATGAATCCCTGAGCAAGAATTGGCAGAATTGAGCAGTGGTTAGTGGCAGTAACTCGTTCAGACCACGGCGAAGCTAAGCAGAGCTGCTTCTCGCCAGCCCGAAAAGATCGCACCAGCCATGGTTGGTTCCCTTTTTTCTGGTGCCTCGCCGAGAGTCGAGGCCTGGTCATGCGGAGACGCTGGCGTTCCCTCTGATCCTCGACCATGCGAGGAGCTGAGACCACGGAGCTCTCGGGAGCAGAGTGCTTCGAGCAGAGCTGCGATGCCAAGTAGACGAAGTGACTATCAGAGTTTGTCTGAAGTCTGTAAATGGAAAAAACAGGGTCTAAAGGTAAACAGACAACAGAAGTTGTCCATGCTGCAAAGTATAATGCAACGGAAGTAGCATTGAAGCTTGCAAAGGTACCGGGGCCTATCGAAACCGCAGCAACAAGTTCGATTCACATGCTTCACGCGTGCATATCCTGCTTTTTTGGAATACGGCTTCCCTACCTGAAGAGACAGACGCGCAGGCTGACACTTTCTTTGTCTAAGAGGTCTTGCAAAGCTGAAATGAGGCTGCAAGACATTGGATCATGAGTATTCAGAACTCTTGAGTTGGCTCAGATGTTCCATTGCGTTGAAGTGTCCTGGGCACACTGGCTCCGTCCCATACACAGGGGCACAGAGGTCTCGCCGGAATGTATCAGTGTGATAACATGTAGTTGAGCCATCAGCACCCGCAGCGCAATCGCATGAGCAGCGGGGCAATCACCTGAAATTGCATTGGCCCATGGTCTTGCTACCAGTGCTTGCGAATGTTTGGTGGAGCCTTATGCCTCGAAGGATCACAGAAAGTTTTTCTCAACGGTGGGCTGCAAAGTGATTTTCTGCAGCATTGACCCCGATTCCAGTTCTGCGATTCAGCACCAGCCTCTTCAAGCGTTTAGTGGTAGAGTCCACGGCCGGAGGGTTCTGCGTCTAGGGGTTTAGGGTTTCGTCTTCTTGGAATTTGGGGAAGAGGAGCGCCGAGTCTTCGGGGATTTGGAGTTTAGGGTTTCGGGCTTTAGCCATTTAGGTTTCACGGTTTGGGGTTAGGAGTTTGGTTCCTTCAATGCTCGGGGCCATCGCGGTGCGAGGCTGTGTACATCGAAGGTCCTGCAGACACTTCCGCCAAGTTGGAGGGCGAGGCCGGCGGTGCCTCTTGTTGCGCTGGGGTTGCAGGGGTTTGTGCCTTGCCTTTCTGAACCGCGAGGGCGAGGCTGTGCAGTAGTGGCGATCCGCAACAGAAATGTAGCTTCGAAAGTCCGCCAGCGCATCGGCCCCCGTTCCCGGAGGGCAAGCGATGTGGAAGAAAAGTCGTCCGACAGTTTTTTTTGGATGTCTTTGGGAATTTGCCGGAATCGTGTTTTCTCGCAGTGCCATTGACAGGAAGGATTGATCGTGGCGGCGGGTGGCGCTGCCAACACAGTAGTGCCTTGTGCTTAGCAAAATTCGCAGTTTCGGCAAGGCACTTGTCTTGGTGCGCACGCCACCACGCATCATCTGCTTTGCTTTTTGCGGAACTCCTTTTTTTTTTCCTTTGCTCTCAGGTTCCCTAAACCCCAAACTCTAAACCCCTAAACCCCTAAAGCCCTAAAACCCCTAAAGCCCTAAAGCCCCAATCCTTAAAACCATAAAAACCCTAAACGCTAAGCTCCCTAAACTCTCTCTCCAAGGCTGAGTCGCTTGCATCTGCGGGTTCTCGGAGGGGGCCCGGCCCTGCTTCTCGCCGGCGGCTGCAGCGTGGAGCGATGCGAGGCGACCTTTGGCCCTTTGGGGGCCTTGGGCCTTTTTTGGTGTACCTTAAAGGCGATCTGTAGGGGTTTCTATAAAGGGGATGTATAGGGGGTCCTTAAAGGGGATCTATAGGGGTTCTATAAAGGGTTTAGGGTTTACGGTTTGGGAATTCGACAGACCTTGATCCGGTGGACTCTGTCAGATCGATACCTGCGGAAGTGGCGTCGGTGGGGTGCTGAGCCGAACGACAGTGTCTGGTGCTCTTTGAGACTTCCCTAGCTGTATTGCATTTTGCGGCAGTGTCACTGATGCCGCCCCATTGCTGAGAGCTTTGACATATACTGGGGGGTTCTTTCGTTCAGCCTGCTTCGGACAAAAATTCTTGCCGGCATCGGCAGTTATGAGGCATCGAAGTTGCAGCTCATTCTGGAAGCGCCGTTCAGATCCTGCGCAGCGTGATTCGGAACTGCCAGGCTTGGTTTAGGAGCTGCTTCCGAAGCCACCAGTGCATTTTGGATGTGGAACTCCGAAAGAGTCTAGCTGTGTTGGCCGCATGGCAGGTGGGCATCTCACTGGCGGGGGGCGCTGCAGCGGCGATTCTCGAGGCCAGCATGAGGAATGCAGCTTGCCCTTGGCCGGGCAGACAGCTTTTGAGCCCAGCCAGTGTAGATGGATCGCCTTTCGCTGTGAACCTGCATCCTCGACGCTGTTTTCTTGCACGGAGGCTGATAAATGTCCCAGCAGGCTGCGTGCACTTCTTCTTGTGCTCATTGCCTGGCTCTGCCGGCAGGGTACTCATATCGAACGCTGCGCTTGTGGCATCTCTCTGACTGGTCTCGACGTGGAGGACTCCTCGGGGTGAGCGCTTTTGTCGTGGAGAGATGGCGAATCCCGCGTAGGAGGGCTGGAGCGACGCGCTGGTCTCCCTTTCCGGGGCATCCTTGGTACTGAACTCCGAGGCTCAGCGCTCAGCTGCGCTCAGCTTCGCTCAGGCGAGTTTCAAGACTTCCAGTTTCCTGTTCCGAGGCCGACCTTCGCTTGCGGGCCTGGAGCATTCGAGAGAAGGCAGCCCTCTGGCAGCTGCCCGAGCCGCTGCCTGCTACCGGAACACCGCCCGTCGTCGCAGGATGGGCAACTCCGACAGGCCCCACCTGGACGAGAGATTTCGGCGTGAGCGCGCCTCAGCTTTCACAATCCTTCACAGATGCAGTGCCCCCACCCGCCCCGAAAGCCGCCGCAACCCCCGCGCCGCGCTGAGGTGGCTGGCCGTCGGAGCAATGCAACGTTGTCGTGGCGGCCTTTACGTCTGTCTTCACACATCACAACACATGCCTGCCTCGCATGGCCGTCTGCTCTTGAGGCACCTACGGATCGAGGTCCTGTGGTTCTGCATTTCGATGCGGGCAAGGTTCCTGCCTTTGCCTCTCAGCCCATGAGAAGCTGATGCTCGACAGGTCAATGCCACACTTTGGGACGGCGAAGACGATGAGGTGGACCAGGAGCAAGCTGCCTGGCCGCAAAAGCTTTTTGAGAGGGTAATTACACGCTTGTGAGGATGCAGCCAGCAATGCCTGCAGTTCAGGCCTCAACGCGAGTCGTGCTCCTGTGTCCCTAAGCACGCAACTGCTACCTGACCTAAAGCTTTAGAACTCTGAAATACACAGGACTACAGGACTACTCGGAGTGACCGAAGTAGCTGGAAGCCTGTTCTTCGCCTTGCTCAACATGTCTTCGAGGCTCGTCCTTTCACGAGCTCGACATCGAGCCTGAGCCTGTCAGGGTCCGAGTGCGCAGAATGGGATAACTCCCTTCACGTGTTGCTCTGCAGGACGTCGCCGAAAGAAATCTGTGAAGCAGTGATCCTCCAGCAGAGGGAACTTGCTTCCTTGCATCGATGTACTGCACCCAGTAGGTCATGTAGCTGGTCGAGCATGTCGGGAACCGCCGTTCGGCTGCGAGAATGACGGCAGTGCCGGCTTCAGCCACCTGGACAGAAGTGTGCACCGCTGAAGTCCGGATATGCCTGGTACGCGGGCAAGAAGCAACTCGCAAAGAAGCAGGGAGAAAGTTGGGGCCCGGGCCGGACATGTCGTTGCCCAAGATTGGGTCAGAATTTGGCGCAACGGCCAGGCTTTGGCTCAGAGGCTCTAAAGTGGTGGAGTCCTTGCGCCATGGCGGCCTGTTTGCTCGATGACCTCGGCCCGCTCCCTTGGAGTGGGATGCTCGACGTGGCCTCCGGGCTTCGATTTCGAGCAACGTCTCGAACAGCAAAGGCCTTCGGCGGGTCTGTTCGGGACGGAGCTGTTGCATGCTTTTGCAGCTGTCCATGTATGCTTTTTGCAGGGCTTGGCCAACCGACACCTCGACGTCGGAGCCGTGCTGGCACGTCGGCTGGCCTACGTCGAGGCAGTGCCACTCCAGCCTTCCTGGTTCAAGTGTTCAGATCGCAGCTGCTTTGTGTCACACCCTGCACATATTGGTACAAACTTAAGGGGACATCCAGGAGCATGATCTTAATCGACCGTGGTTTCACTCGACAGGCAAGTGGAGCAGCCTGCAATTCTGTTGCTTCTTTCTGGAGATTCTTGATTGCAGGAAGTTGAATTCGCAGGTACTCGTAAGGCCAAGTTGAAGTTTTAGCGAGGGTCGGCCACTTCAGGAAAGCTCGCTGCCCTTCGGAAGTTTTGTGAGCGTGGTGGGCGCGGCCATGTGGAAGTGGTGATGGCACTGCAGCAGAGACTTCAGGACTCTCCATGTCTGGAAATTGTCAAAGGCTGCAGACCGTCTTGACATCGTGTTGCTCCTCACGTTCACCTGGCTGCGCTCTGTCTCCTGTCTCTCTCTCTCTGACTTTGGAGTCTACTTGGACTGTGTGTCGCATGAGGACCCTGACTGGCGCGTGCGGCAAGCTGTCATCACAGTACTCCCGGACGTTTTGGAAAGCAACGTTCGAGCCCCGATGAACGTGAAGGTCAGTGAGCTGGTGGCAAAGAAGGCGGGTTGGGGGGCGGGAGGCCAGAGTCAGAAGTTGCGGAGCATCCCCGGCTGCTAGGTCTTGGAAGACGAGTGCGTGGATGTGCGGGAGAGCGCGGTGAGCTCTCTGCCCTCCCTGGCTGCGCGGGGACACGAGCCGGTCGTCCACGCATTGAAGCGAGGGCCTTAGCATAGCCATGCCCCGATGCGCCCGAGGTTTGAAAGCAGTTGCTTGCTTCCTCAGGTCTGCCCTGTCAGCCGCCTGGCTCCAGAGGTCGGTCTTTCAGAGTCGGTATAGAGTTGTAGTAGCTTTGAGCATAGCTGAGGACCCGGGGCACGTGGTGCGGAGAGCGGCTGTGGGCGCTTTGTCTCAGCTGTCGCTTCCCGACTCCTCGGCCGGCTCTGCGGTGCTCGGTCGCGTCATGGACATCGACATGGAAGTCCGACGAGCCGCCCTGATATCGGCCCGACAGATATATCGACTGGCCAGCGAGAAGGGCTGGCTCTTGCAGTATGCGCAAGCATTTCTGGGGCGGCTTCGGGGGGATCCGCACATCGAAGTGCGCTTGGCCGCCGTGGATTGCCTCGAGACGCTGGCTGCGGACGATCAGCGGGTGGTCTCCGAGCTGGTTCATTCAGCTGGGATGCCCGAGCAGCCCTGTCGGGTTCGGGAGCGGTGCCTGGAAGCTCTGACTCAGTTCAGCTCGGAAGCTGGCTCCCAGCCACCCACGAGGGAGAACATTCAAGTTCAATGCTTGGGCAGCCAACTTGTTCCCAAGATGGCCGCTGTGCTGCACGCGGCCTTGCAGCGGACGCAGCCGCCGCAACTGCGGATTTCCGCTGCCCGATACCTCGCGTCAGCGGGAAGTCATCCAGCATATCGGGATGTAGCGGAGCTGGGGATGCTTGATACTGACCTGAGCATTCAGAGCTTATGCATGACGGCCTTCTTGAAGATAGGACGCGGAGGTGAACGGTCGAAGCGCCTTTGTGCTGCTTGGGCATTGAGGAACCTGAAACACACGTCCAGAGAGGTTCGTTTGGACGCAGCTGGTAAGTTCAAACTACTCGGCAGAACAGGCGATGAGGCATTGGATGCCGAGATTTTGTCCACCCTGCTGCTTCGGCTGGAGGATGCTTCAGATATCGCAGCTGTTGCTTTGGATGCAGTGGCAGCTTGCGCCACAGTCGGCAGCGTCACAGCCATCCGGTCTTCGAGTCGGACATTCTCTACCGCTGTAGATCCGAAAGTAAAGTGCGCTGCAGCGAGAGCTTTGGCACAGGTAGCCAAGACGGGTGATGAGTCTGCATTATCAGCTCTTTGCCAAGGGCTGAAAGCGAACGCCGATGGAGAAGTCAGCTGCGCAGCTATTCAAGCCATTGGTACTTTGAGCCGCCGAGGTGATGCTTCTGTGCTTGCCGTGTTGGTTGATCTGTTGCCAGTGTTAGGGCATGAGGATCGTGACGATCACGATGCCCTTCGGGAAGCTCTCCCGGCACTTGCTCGGCTCGCGCGGCGGGGTAATGGTGTTGTCACTGCCAGCATCTTGAGGATTCTGGAGCGAAGGCCAGCCGCAGGGATTCAGGTCGCTTGTGTGCAGGCCCTGCAAGCTGTTGCAAGGAAAGGTGACTCGCGCATCCTTGAATGCCTGCTAACACTACTCAGATCTGTGGAGCCATCCGTATGTGAAGCTGCCGTGTTAGCCGTTGCGGAGCTCAGCAAGCTGGGGGACGCCACGACAATCTGCAGTTTGTTGCCACTGCTTTCTGGTGCGACCCACGACGAGCCGAGACTCCGAATCGCAGCAATTCGGGCCACAGCGGCGCTTGCCACCCGTGCTTCCGAAGGAAAGCACAGCGATGCCACAGCCATAGCTGCAGTTGCGGACTGTCTCAAGGACGCCGAAGATCCTCGTATTTTGTTTAGCCTTCCGGTTAAGATAGGGAAAGTCAAAGCAACTGTGAAAAACCTTGGCCACAGCTTTCGTAGCTGAGGTGAGATCTGAGGCCATTGAGGCATTGTCCAAGATGGCGCAAGCTGGTGATCGGATCGGCGATCAGGTGGCCATCGCCGCTGTGTCCCGTTACCTCGCCCACTCCGACCCGGACTGCCGCGCAGCTGCAGCCTTCGCACTGACGAAGGCACTGACAAAGCGAAGCCTAGATCCCCACATCGTCACACCTTTGGCATCCCTTGGCCCTTGCCTGGCAGCTCTTTTGCAGGTTGCTCGAGCTGGTGATCAGGCCGTCGTGTCGGCGCTGAGTCCAGCTCCCAGACTCTGACCTTGCGAAGCGTGGACTTCTCTGCGAAAGCTTCAGGTCGGTGCTTGGAGAGCGACTGTGCTGTGGTCCAGCGCTCTGCTGCACAGGCCCGGGGGGGCGCACTTCGCCTTCGCTGGAAAGCATCTGAGCTCTGTGCGATTCTTGCTGCACAGGCCTTGGGTGAGCTTTGTGGACAGGCTGGGCATGTGCGGCCGCCAGCTGAGATGCTGCGCTGTGCATCGTTCAAGCAGGCGCATCTTCGTGCAGTGGAGGAGCTGGAGGCCCTACTCTCAGAGTGCGGAGCGAGTTCAGGGAGTGAAAGCAGAGGCTGTTCCCTGAAGAGCCGACATGAGGCAGCCGTCCATGCTTTCCCAACTACTGAGGCGCAGTTGCTGAACCCTGATGCCAGCGTTCGCGATGCAGCTACCGCATCCCTAAGGCAGTACCAGTTGACGGCGTGTAAGCTGACCGTCACATCCGATGGCTGCCTTGTGCCCGCGTTCATGGAAGGAAGATTCGTGGAATCAAGGCCGTCCCTGTCATTGTCCATGCTTGGCAGGCCGCATGAGCTCTGGGCATGTCATTCAGAGCCTGTGTTGGTGATCTGGGAGGTGCAGAGGGATCGGCCTGTGCATGCGAAACGGCGGCGTTCGCCAAGCCCTCTGGCAGAGGAACGTTTTGTACATAGAAAGATGCCAGCTGAATTGAATCAACGTGCTTTTCCGACTCAGATCGCTCAAGGATAGCAAGCTCGGATTGTGTGGAATTCAGCTCTACCGACCAAGCCGTGCGTGCTTGGGATTGTGGGGCAGACTTTCAGGGGAGAACCTCAGTGAGCTGTGGGGAAGTCAGTTGTCAGAAAGAGACTGCGATGGTTCATGGATTTCACCGCGCCTTGCCAGGAACAACACTTCCGCTTGCGTGCATTGCGTGCATGCACTTGCGCAGTAGGAGTCCTCTCAAGGTCAGTCATGAATGTAGCCATGATGCCACGGACCTCTGCCTGCAGCCCAGGTGCATTCAGCATAAACGCTTAAAGCTATGTCGAGCAGACATACATACACGATCCTGGAAAACACAGCGCAAAGTCTGGAAGCTGTGTAAGTAGGAGGCCAGTTTTCCTGACCGGTGCTGATCGCAAGCCCGGCGCACCTTGCCTCCAAGAGACGCGTCTGCTCTGCGTTCGGGCCTTGATAGTTAGAATAGGGTTTTGGGGCCCAATATACCGTAGTTGTAACAAGGAACCCCCGCAGAAAACAGTGTCAGTAAGTAGATAGGCCCCTATATCATAGTACCCTTTATAGTAACCCCATAGTAGTCCTTCTACGAGACGTTTCGAGGGCTCCGAGGGCCCGGCGCGAGTTTTGAGTCTGCTCAGGAAGTCGCCGGCGACGCATGGTTGGCGCCACACTGGCAGCCATAGGACCAGGTGTTGCCGTAGGCCCCGCCCGGAAAGCTTCGCGAGAGAAAGAAGTCGAAGAAGACGATATATATATATATATATATGCATATCTATATATATATATACATAAATACATACACACGCACATACATATACATATACATATACATATACATATACATATACATATACATATATATATATATATAGACACATAATATATATATATATATACATATACATATATACATATATATATATATATATATATATATTGGTTGATTGATTGAATCAAGAGTGAAGAGAAGCTCTCGCCCCTCCTTTCGACGCCAGGCCGAGCTTCACATGTCTCTTACGACGAGATTGCTCGAGAGGACAGCTGCGTAAAAGCAGGGGGGGTTTGACGTGTCAGTCCCTGTGAAGCTGAGGATGCACAGCGATGGGTGTCCTGCGACAATGAAGGCTACACAACTCTGAACCTTTCTGGGAAGTCTTGCCCCGGACAACAAGCGGACATCAAGCCCGATTTACACTGGCTGCTGCCTAGATGCAGCCTGCGCAGCGTGATCGTGATCCCGACAACAACCCGGAGCAGAGATGCAGCGTATCTTCACTGAGGTTGATATCGAAGCCTGATGGAGGCTACGAGCTCCAGCCAGTTAGTGTCCCAAGCTCGGAGCGTTGAATCAGTCGAGCATCAGCCAAAGTCTTCCTCGCCGAGGCATGGTTCACCTTCGAACGGCCACTGGCGACAGAAGATGATCCCGATGATGAAGACTTAGACAAGGAGGCGCAAGTGGATTCTGGCAGCATGTCAGAAAAATGGATCATTCATGAAATTCACACCACTCTTGCTTTGTTCTCTTACTCGGCTGGATGCTAAACCAGCTGTCGGGCAATCACAGGTGTTCCTGAAAGGTTTCCGGCACAACAGCCATCGCGCGGTCCAAGCCGGGAGAACTAGTCATCAACTTGATCAACGGCAGCTTGATGCTGTGGGGTTCAGGAATGCCTTCCTCTGCAAGATCCTGCGTTCTGATCTGAGGTAGCAAGAAGCGGAAGTCGGAGTTGCTTGGAGAAAGGCATTCTTTTTTGTTAAGGCATTCTTTTCTGTTTGCTGTTAACATGCAGCGAGCTTCGGACTCTTCGCGAGTGTCCCAAGGCACCTTGGTGAGGACGGCATGAAGAGCGATGGCTCCACACGGCGGACCATCGACAACCGCTGGCAAGGGATGCTGGAGCGAGCTGTCCAGACCGGGCGCTGGCTTGATCCCGCAGGAGGTCACATGGTGACCGTACTGGCATACTGTTTCTGTTCACTATGCACGCGAAGAATTGTCAGCTTTCCCAGCTGCTGATGCGCAAAATCGAGAGCCGCAGGTTCAGGCTCTTTCGTAAACGAAGCCCGAGTCTTGTGGAATGCAAACCCAACAGCAAATAAGAAGGTAGTGGTCAATTGCTCAAACTGCGACCTCTGTAGAAGGACAGCAAGCCTGCTCCTCGAAACCTCGCATACCTCATCGAAAGCAAACAAAGCCACAGCTTCGCCAAAAAGGAAGTTCGCGGATCCGCGAGCAGATTCTCAACGACTTCCATCACACTGCGGATGGACTCGGGCCCCAGGCCGTTTGGCTGGAGGACTTCTATAGGGGCCGTAATAATTACCGCCACTATTTTGGGTGTTCCTTCTTGTAGTCATAGTACAGTATACCCTTATTCTAATGATTCAGGCACCGATATTACGTACTTGCATGTGACTGCACTCCTTGTGCATGGCGCTTGATGTTTCAATGTGGAACCTGATGTTGCAATTCACAACCTACATACTGTCCTAAACCCTCAACCCTAAACCTTAGACCCTAAACCCTAAACCTGTCACGCTACTGGTAGCCTGCTGCAAGGTTCTGAGCATCCTGAAGTCGGTGAACAAAGACCTCAGCGTGTTGTTGCTAAGCTGCGCTTCTGTTCGAGTACTTCAAAAGTGGCAGGAGTTCGCTTCGCACTGAACCCTAAACCCTGAAATCCTCCAAGCGTCCTAGGTGACCGACAACTCTGTCACTCTTCATTTGAGTTTGCTTTGCCGAACTAGGTTGCTCTGTGCTCTGGTAGCTCAAGCATCTTCTTGAAGGTCATTCCCGTCAATGCTTAATTTAAAGCATCCTTGCCCAATGCCCCACACATATCACGAACCGACGATAATCCCAGAATCCCATAGTCTCATGCATCCATACTTCGGGACGGTTTCACATCTGCGAGAAAATCATTAGGATTTTCGTGTTTTTTTGAGTTGTTGAACTGTTGGAGCAAGGCCTGGGCAGTGTGGGCTTTCTCGAACCAACGCTCCAGAGAATTTGGAAATCTTTGAGTTCGTGGGATCGTGAACCTGTGCAACGATGGAATCATTGAACTTTGCAAGCTGCTCCATGATGAAAGACTGGAGTTGCGGAGCTATGAATGCGGAGCTGTGGAACAGTAATATACTCGAACGTGGATGGGAACTAGGGACTTGGGGAATAATGGACGTGTCGGGAATCTGGGGTTCAGAATTGTAGGTTGGTGGGATTCCAAAATGTTCCCCCCGTGACCCTCGCACGCAGCAGTCCACCGCATGCATACTCGTACGTAACATGCGCACATGCATGCATCGCGCACCCCAGCACCCACATCTTTCCCGGGCAGAAGCTGTGGGTCTGTCTGACTGGAGCAACCTCAACATGGTTTGGGTTGCATGCGGGAGGTCATCCGCGTATATCTATCTCTATCTTTAGCTAAAACTCTATCTCTGTCTCTATCCGTGTCTGTACCTCTACCTCTATCTCGATCTCTATCTCTGCCTACCTACATACACACAAATATTAATAGATGTGTATATACATATATACATATGTTTATACACATGTATGTATGTATGTATGTATGTATGTATGTATGTACAGTGCAAAGACACACGCACACAACTGGAAAGGCTCCCACTGACCCGCCTTCTGGATGTTCTGATCGTCCAATGCATAGACTCTCATGATGGTGCACAGACAGATTGCAGCAACCGTACAAAGCTTCAAGAGACATGTCCGAGTTTTCAGAAAGCAAAGTAAGGTAAAAAGTTTCGAACAACCGCGAAAAGCAATATGATGGTTTCAAATGTGACCAATCCAGCTGCGCTCTTGCACCCAGGAACTGGTCGCAGGTACGTTTACCTGTCCATATGACAAAGAGCTTCGTTGGCGCGAGCTTTGTCAAAGGACCTCGCGCCCCCTGCAAACTTAAAAGCAAAAAGAGCATGAAAACAAGAAAAATCCATGGGTCAAAGCAGGTACCTACAAAGGTTTTCAAACAGAAACGCCAATGAAAAATGGACATGTGAATGCAGGTTTGTCGCATGTACAGCAGAATAACACAAACAGGCCCCCGAAGGGGCACAGAAGCTTCAAGGTGCAGGTCTTTTGCGACTGTTCCCAATCATCGTGTGAGCAGCAAGCCTATTCACGTCTACGCTTCTTGATGGCTCTCTCACTGCGGTCAATAACCTGGTGGTAATAGCATCGGCAATGATTGTGACCTTCGTCTGCTCGAGCACATACCCGACCACAGTTCGTATGAGAGCACAATCCTGAGCATCGTGACATCCTTTGTTGAAAATCCGAAGAATCACGTAGGATTTCGACAACACGAAGCATCAACCGAATAAGGTCTTGTGGGTGGATGTCGTTAGAGCGAAGAGCATCGAGGGCATCGGCAGCTGATGTTTGCACAATATCCTCCAAATTGTCATCGCTGGCTCGCCTCGACCCTGGTTCATAACGAAGAGTACGTCGACCACTGGACGACATGATTACACACTGAGACTTCAAAAAGCTTGAGCACTTCACATCAGCACGAGAGAAGGCAATCCTAGGGCCACATGTCAAGACTCGCATGACAAAGGACACCATTTATACTCATGTGGCGTGATCCACTCAAGTCCAGGTCGAATCTACACTTTACAGTGGGTGAACAATGCGGCGCACATTAAGATCATCGATGAAAGCCGACCCAACACGCACTCGGTCTTCATTGGAGTGATGAATCCATTCCACATTGGCATGGCGCACTTGGGCAAGACGCCAAAGCTGCTGAATATTGAAGAATGTGCGATCGCCAACCAATCGGATAATAGTGTAATACCATTCTTTGCAAACGGACGCAAACACCACAATATGAGGTAAGGCGGGAGCTTCACACGTAATCGGCGTGTACACACTGGGTCCTTGCATAAAGAACTCCCATACTTCAGCACGAAGATCCATACCTTCTGTTCTGCATTGTGTAACAAACTGTTCAAGATCATACATCGTATGGAATCCA